CATCTGATTGTCTCTGTGATCCTGGGAGGCTGGGAAACAGGCGGTCATGATGCACTTACCCTTCCTCTAACTCAGTTCAGCCTTCTGTGGTTGGGTTATGACCCTGCACAGGACATTTTGGTAGCAAGTACTAAGACTCTGAAGTAACTAACATTTTAGGTAATGGCTAAGAAAGCCAGGTTGTCTGAGGCACAGTAAGTGGATGATAGAATATATAATTATCGAGAGAATTTGGAAGACCTCATAAGGGTGATTTTTCTCTGAAAGGTTTATGTCTTAGTTAGCTTTGTCAACTTGACACAGCCTACAGTTACCTGAGAAGAAAATTGGACTGTAGCATGTGTATAGGAGAGTTTCTTACTATTCACTGGTGTAGAAGGGCTCACAACATTGTGAATGGTATCATCTTTTATGTGTATAGGAGAGTTTCTTACTATTCACTGGTGTAGAAGGGCTCACAGCATTGTGAATGGAATCATCTTTAGGCACATAATCCTAGATTGGATATGAAACCTAGATACATGTCAGGAACTAAGAGATTAGACTGCCAACACAGTTCCTTAATGGTTTCTGCTTCAAGTTCCTGTTTAAATTTCTGCCCTGGCTCCTCTAGGATAGGGATTTTGACCTGGAAATATGAATTGAAATAAACACTTTCTTCCCAAATGGGCTTTGTTAGAGCATTTTGTCACATCAACAGAAAAAGTAATTCGTCCTAGGAAAGTGATATGAGGCTGTGATAGACCGGATATTGTACCTTTGTTTTGATTTTTATGCTTGGATCACTATTTTTTATTGGGGGTAATTTTGATGCTTTAGAATAGAAGCCACTGACTATGTAGAGCTTGATGAGCTGTTGCTATAGGAATTTGAAAAACAGTGTTGAGGAAAATGTGGTCTGTGGAGGCACAGCTCAGGATGTTTGAGAAGGTTGCAGTGCCAAATTTAGAAATGGATTGGGGGTCATTCATATGAGATTGTTACTAAGAAATTGTGGTTTCTGGTCAGTTGAAGAATCAGCCATTATTAATAAGAGATCAAAACCATCCAGGTGACATCTTCTGTACTTCATTGAGAGAACAGGGACATTTTTTCCTCAGGACACATGTGTCCACAACACACTTGACAGTATGAAAGCGTCACTCACATGGTACTGGCTTTGAAGGGGATGAAAGCTGCAGGACTGAGGGGCCATGGAAAGAAGATAAAGCTTGGCACAGTTCGGCACTATGGACTTATGGAAGAGACACCAAGAGAGGGCATGGTGGAGGTGCAACTTCAGTTTCAATAGAGACCCAGGGTACGGAGCATGCTAGGACTGTAAATTGTCTACCAAGGACACTAGCTGGAGTAGAGTGCAGCCAGCCGGAGCCTAAACAACAAGCTGCAGATGGCAGCAGTGGAGAGCTGGTACTGTACATGCCCTTTGGAACCAAGAAGATCGTGACTGAATCCCAGAGGACAGACACTAGGCTACAGAGTTGTATTTGTAGTCTTGATAGTAGTTTATGGTATAAGAGTTGTTTGATTCTGTATTTCAGTTTTCTTTATGACCTAAAATATGATGTATGATGGATAAAATTTCAGGGGTTGCAAAAAAGAATGTGTATTTCATCACTGTTGTTTCGAATATTATCTATATGTCCAAGTCATGTAATCTATTATTCATTTAGCTCCCAAATGTGTTTTTGTTTGTTTGTTTGTTTTGATGACATACTTACCTGATGGGAGATGTCATTCTGTACATGTTTCTCATATTGGTTAATAATAAAGCGCTGTTGGCCAATAGGAAAGGAAGATAGGAGGGACTAGGAGACAAGGAGGAAAGAGGAAGTAGAAAGGAGGAGCCAAGATGTAGAGTCTGGAGAAAGCAGTACACGGCAGCCGGCTCTGGGTAAGAAGACCACGTGGAAATACATAGATTAACACAAATGGGTTAATACTTAAGACAGAGCTAGCCGATAAGAAACTAGTAACTGGCCAACAGGATTATATCTAATACAGAGTCCCTCCTGCTTTCCCTCTCTCCCACCCTTCTCATGTCGCCCTGACCACCCTGTACTCTAATTCCTCCCACTCCACATGTGGGGTGATGCCCTCCAGGAGGTGTCATCTAAATCTGTCAAGTCATTTGGAGTAGGGACTAGGCCTTCTCTCCTGTTTCTAGGTTAAGGGAGTACCCTCCGTGGTGGATGTGCTCCCAAAGTCCTTTTGTGTGCCAGGAATACATCCTAGTTCCACTGTCAGAGGTCCCTTAGACTGCCCAGGCCTTCTGAGACCAATGTTCAGGGGGTCTGAGTCAGTCTCATGCTGTATATGCTGTATTCTCAGCTATCAGTCTGTGGGCCCATTAGCTCCTCCTTATTTGGGTCAGCTGTCTCTATGTGGCAAAAAGAATTTTTTTTATTTAATTTATTATTTTACATGTTGAGCCCAGTTCCATCTCCCTCCCTCACTCACTCACTCTGTCCCTCACTTTTACCCTCTCTGCCCTCTACATGCACCCTAAGAACCCTCCTTCCCTCCCATCCCCCCACACCAATTCCATATGTAGGGGAACGCCATCCAGTTGGGGTTATGTAGATCTAACAGGTCATGTGAAGTAGGGACTAGGAACTTCTCTCCTGTCTCTAGGTTAAGGCAGTTATCCCTCCATGGGGGGATGTGTTTGCAAAGTCCTTTTGTGCACCAGGGATACATTCTGGCTCTACTGTCTGAGATCACTTAGACTGCTCAGTCCTTCTGGCTGAGACCCATATTCAGGGGGGCCTGAGTCAGTCCCATGCTGGATTCCCAGCTATCAGTCTGGTGGCCCATTAGCTTCTCCTTGTTCAGGTTAGCTGTCTCTATGTGTTTCTGCCACCTGGTCTTGTCCTCTCCATCTGCATCTGGATTCTTGTTCAACTGAGTGTTTATGTATGGGTGTTTGCTCCTGTTTCCAACAGGTATTAGGTGAGGGCTCCATGAATAAGGTAGTTGTTGATCTCACTATCCGGGAAGGTCTTTTATGGTAGCCTTTCCACGGATGCTCAAATTGTTAGTTGGCAGCAGTCTTGTAGTTCTCTAGACTTTTCTTTGTGTTCAATTTTATCTTCAAACCAAACCAATATTGGCTCCCTCTTTTATGTTCTCTCTCTCTCTCTCTCTCTCTCTCTCTCTCTCTCTCTCTCTCTCTCTCTCTCTCTCCTGTCTTCTATTCCTAACCAAGCTCGATCTTCCTGGTTGCATGTGTTTTCCTTTCTTCCCCCTCGTTTTCTCCTACTTCTCTCTACATTCACTGCCCCCCCACATCCCCTGTGCTCTGGGAGACTTGTCCCTTCCCGGTTCTGTGAGGGGCTTTATATGAATCTCTTAGAATACACCTTGTATCCTAGTTCCTCTGGTGGAGTGAATTATAGGCTGGTGATCCTTTGCTCTAGGTCTAAAATCCATATGTGAGTGAGTACATACTATGTTCCTTTTTTTGTGACTGGGTTACCTCATTCAGGATGGTTTCTTCAATTGCCATCCACTTGCCTGCGGATTTCAAGTTACCATTATTTTTTTCTACAGAGTAGTATTCCATTGTGTAGATGTGCCACATCTTCATTATCCATTCTTCAATTGAGGGGCATCTAGGTTGTTTCCAGTGGCACAGACACTGAGGGAAACAACTAATAAATGGGACCTCTTCAAACTTAGAAGCTTCTGTAAGGCAAAGGACACTGTCAACAACACCAAACGGCAGCCCACAGACTGGGAAGAGATTTTCACCAATCCTATATCCGACAAAGGGCTGATCTCTAAAATATACAAAGAACTCAAGAAACTAGTCAACAAAACACTAAGTAACCCTATTAAAAAATGGGGTACAGAACTGAAGAAAGAATCCTCAATAGAGGAAATCAAAAAGGCTGAAAGGCTCTTAGGAAAGTGCTCCACATCCTTAGCTATCAGGGAAATGCAAATCAAAACAACTTTGAGATACCATCTTACTCCTGCCAGAATAGCTAAAATTAGAAACACCAATGATGACTCATGCTGGAGAGGATATGGAGAAAGGGGAACACTCCTCCACTTCTGGTGGGAGTGCAAACTCATACAGCCATTTTGGAGATCAGTATGGTGGTTCCTCAGGAAAATGGGAATTAGTTTACCACAGGACCCGGCAATCCATGTGCAGCAAGCCAATGAGCAGTACCAAGGCCCTCTGCACCAGCTCCTCCCTTCAGGTTCCTGCCCTGTTAGAGTTGTGCTGATTGCCTTTGATGATGAACTGTGGTATGGGAACAAAAGCCACAGAAAGCCTCTCCTAATTGCTTTGTTCCTGGTGTTTCATCATAGATAGAATAGTCACCCAACCTGAGAGACCTATGTTCCTTCTTTCTTCTCCCACTTTAACAGAGGAAAGCAGGTCAGTAATGAATGATGTGTGGTACTGCAGAGATTCGGTGGTGCATGCTCAGGATTAGTTTGTTACAGAATAGGTGCAGGAGCTATCTCTGTATTTCTAGAATATGTTTAGCTGATTTTCCCTTAAGTTCACACTATGTAAGGTATAGATTAGAATGTCTCTGTGTAGCATTCTGTATATAAACGTAGGAACAGGGGAATCAGCATCTTTAGACGCCTAGCTTTGCCTACCATTGTGCAACCTGAGGCACTTAGCAAGGTCCCTGCTTGGAAGGAATTGAAGATTGTGTGTTCACTCCTTTCCAATCAGGGAGACTTTGATTACACAGTACTTTTCCTCTCTGTTCTCCCCCTTCCCTTCTTTCTTTTTTAGCTGTCTTAGACCATTTCCAGCGAGGCCTCATGCTAAAAGTATAATCCAAGCTGGCTTCAGAAAAGGATGATTGTCCTGTACTGGATTTTAATTGGTTTAAAACATTTCATAACATATACTATAATAATGAGGTATTTCTAAAAAGATCATTTTTGTGTTCTATAGAAATGAAAAATTTCAGTGGAACAACTTGCTAAACCGAGAAAGATGTTTTGAAAGCTGTAGGTCTTAGTACTGTTGAGCGCGTCAACCAGAGGTGCCGCCTTAGCGGCCGGGACTCAAAAACAATGGCGGCTACTGATACAGAACGAGATGGACTTGCCCCAGAAAAGACATCCCCAGATAGAGAAAAGAAAAAAGAACAGTCAGATGTATCTATTTCTCCTAGAACCTCAAAACATCACTATTCAAGGTCACGATCACGGTCAAGAGAAAGAAAGCGTAAATCAGATAATGAAGGAAGAAAACATAGGAGCCGGAGCAGAAGCAAAGAGGCAAGAAGACATGAATCCAAAGATAAGTCCTCTAAGAGACATAAGTCTGAGGAGCACAATGACAAAGAACATTCTTCTGAGAGAGGAAGAGAGCGATTAAATTCATCTGAAAATGGTGAGGACAGACACAAACGCAAGGAAAGGAAGTCATCGCGAGGCAGAAGTCACTCAAGATCTAGATCTCGTGAAAGGCGCCATCGAAGTAGAAGCAGGGACCGGAAGAAGTCTCGTTCCAGGAGTAGGGATCGAAAAAAGTCTCGATCCAGAAGCAGAGACAGGAAGAAGTCAAGATCTAGAAGCAGGGATAGAAAACGAAGGATTAGAACACGTTCCAGATCAAGATCCAGACACAGGCATAGAACTAGAAGCAGGAGCAGATCAAGGAGTCGAAGCCGAGATAGAAAGAAGAGAATTGAAAAACCAAGAAGATTTAGCAGAAGTCTAAGCCGGACACCGAGTCCACCTCCCTTCAGGGGAAGAAACACAGCGATGGACGCCCAGGAAGCTTTAGCTAGGAGATTGGAAAGGGCAAAGAAATTACAAGAACAGCGAGAAAAGGAAATGGTTGAAAAGCAAAAACAACAAGAAATGGCTGCAGCTGCCGCCACTGGAGGTTCTGTTCTCAATGTTGCTGCACTGTTGGCATCAGGAACACAAGTGACTCCTCAGATAGCTATGGCAGCTCAAATGGCAGCCCTGCAAGCTAAAGCCTTGGCAGAGACTGGCATAGCTGTACCCAGCTACTATAACCCAGCTGCTGTGAATCCAATGAAGTTTGCCGAGCAAGAGAAAAAGAGAAAAATGCTCTGGCAAGGAAAGAAAGAAGGAGACAAATCTCAGTCTGCTGAAATATGGGAAAAATTAAATTTTGGAAACAAGGACCAAAATGTCAAATTTAGGAAGTTAATGGGCATTAAGAGTGAAGATGAAGCTGGCTGTAGCTCAGTTGATGAAGAAAGTTACAAGACTTTGAAGCAACAAGAAGAAGTTTTTCGGAATCTTGATGCTCAGTATGAAATGGCAAGATCACAAACCCACACACAAAGAGGAATGGGTTTGGGTTTCACATCCTCAATGCGTGGAATGGATACAGTTTGAAAAATATCAATTTGGGACTTTATAGACTTGTTCTGATGTCAGGTCCTTGTTCACCAAACAGCTAGTATTCTAGCTTGCATGGGTGTTGCATTGACTTTAATTTATTGAAAAATACGATTTTTTTTTTGTAAATATCAGATCAGTGATACTGATGTTAGTGTTGTAATCAGGTTAAACCCACTTCCATTAAACTTGACAGGACTATAGAAGGACAATATTTTTTAGTTCATGAATTCTACTTTTCAAATATATTAAAGCTTCGGGTGGGATAAAATCTCATACATAGATTTTCTCGTGTCCGCTGTCTTGTGTACTTTTGTACTTAACCTTGTACAGTTATTTTCATCTCTTGAAACATGAAAGAAATGTTATGTAGATGTTCTTTAGAAAAATCTGGCCATTTGGTACATAATCTGCACATACGACCTGGGCAGTGATAATAAAAAAATTGTTTTCTCAAAAAAAAAAAAAAAAAAAAAAAAAGAAAGCTGTAGGTCTTACTTTTAGTTTTCTGGTGTGATAGAACAGCTCAAATTTACGTAGTGGTGGGGAGTATTTGTTTTATAGAAAATAAATTAAAAAAAAAAGAAATTTAAGATGCAGAAATGGTTCGGTATGCAAAGTTCTTCTTGTGCAAATAAAGTTCAAGTCTCCAACACCAATATAAGAATCCAGGCCTTGTGGTTATAGATGGAGACAGGAAATAGCCAGGAATTGGGGGCCAGCCTGCCAAGACAACACTATGAGCTACTGCTTCAGTGATGAGTGATACAGGGTGGAACCTGCAGTCAGCCTCTGGACTCCCATGCACACATTCAGGTAAGAACATCTGTACACACACACATACTACACACTAGCATACTCAGAGAAATTTAATCTAGGGGAAAACACTTGTAGTTCCAGTTTGGAAACACACAAAAGTTGTTATACCTCTTTACAAGATTCAATTATGGCTGTGAGTTTAGTGTTTGTAAAATCCATGGAGATATAATTCTTGATTGTTGAAGCCTGAGGTGAAGCCTGCTATGTCTCTATTAAGAAAAGGTTTGATGATTTTCTTTTCTTAAGAATTATACTGGGATAATGTTTTATAGACACTACTCTGTCATATGTATTGTCATTGGTGATTTGCATCAATATTATTAATAAAGGTTTGTTCAGTATAGTTCGCCCATTATAGAGATATATATGAGATGGAAATTGTGATGAGATGATTGTATTTTGTGTCCTCGTTCAAATATAGGATCATTGTATAGTATTAAAGAAGACTATTACCTTTTCCGTTTTTCTTCCTGCCATGGCAACTGAAAGTCTCTGGTGCTCTTTTATCGGTAAATGTTTTAATTCATCCATTTCTCTTATAACTTTCATAAGTGTTTAAGGTTTTTGTGAGAGCTGTGTTCTTGTTTTATTTTTCATTGACTGTCCTTTAAAAATGCAATCACAAGTACAAGAGGTGTTCAGGAATAAACATTTTTTCAAATTAAACTTAAATAAGAAATGTGCACTGCAGTGGATGGTAAGTGAATTGTATAAGTAGCTGGCACTAGGCTATGGGACTCCTGATGGTGATATGCAAATGATTGAGGGCAAGAAAGCATCAATCTCTGAAAATTAGGTTATCTCATTGTTTTCCTCAGTTATAGCTAAATTTTTCAGCACATGCTAATTTTCTTTAGTGTAAAGTTAAAGTCCCATGAAACTCATGAAGGATGTTACTCTTCACCTCCTTGTGTGTGTCATAACTGAGAAATTTGAAATATTTGAAATACTGTGAATGCCTGCCTCACTCTCCATCTTATGACTCTGAGCTGATTTTCTGTGTTTCAGACAGTTTCATTTCTTAAACCTGTTTCAGAAACATCTAGTTTCTTTGAAGCACAATGAAGTTCTCTTTTAAGCACAGGACAAATGTCCTTTGCTTTGTTACTCACGTTTAGTGATAGTTTGAGTTAAATGAAATGACCCAGAGCTTTAATAATGATAGAAAAATATCTTAGATGATGATGCTCACTGGCAGCAGAGAAAACAATTGTGAGCACAGAACATGATGATGAACACCGTACTGAAGAACCTTACACTGGGGGCTCCTTCACTGTGCCTGTCAACTATAGTATTCTGATGGCTGACCTATCAAAGTGATCGGTCTTTCGTCTTAGAGAATAGCAGACAGATATAGATGAGTGGGAAGTCAAAGAGGTGATGAAAAGGCCTTCTCAGGGGCTGAGAAGATGGTGTAGCTCTAAAGTGCTTGCTGTTTAAGCATGAGGCCCTGGATTTGGTTCCCTAGCCCCCATGTTAAATCCTGGTGTGATTGTTAGTTTCTGTAATCATAGCACTGGGGAAGTCAAGACAGGAGGATCCTTGAGGCTTTGTCTCAGCCATTCTAGCTAAACCAGTGAGTTTCAGGTTCCGGCTCCATCTCTCTATCTCAAAATATTAAGATGAGGAGTGACAAAAAAGACAGCAGACATTGAACTCTGACCTCATACATACACTGAAAGACATAGCATTTCATAGCCTGTCCAAATAGACTTTATATGGGGAAGCAGAATGAGGGAAACTATTGGTGATTAGAAGAGAAAAAGATGCATCCGTACCATTCAGGTGTTTGAGGTATGATTAACATTTGAACTTATTATATGTCTGCAATGCTGCCTGTCCTAGCTGTTTTGAATGTTGGATCATCTGGAATAGTGGTTCAGGGTGTCTTGCTTAAGCAAACCATGTTAGTCTGGAAGGATCCACAGCTTTTCATTTTCAGTGAAACAAAAATAGAAATCCTTTTCCCCAGTAACCTGTCCTTGGACTTAATTTTGTACTCAAACCATTTTTAATATATATAAATTGACTTAATCCAGCAGCATTTCTTTTGAACAGCTGTTGCTATTTCCTCAGCAGTCAAACAATACAAAGACAACAAAATAGCATACAATATCCAGACACTTTTTGTTCTTTCTATCTTTACGTGAATTTTTTATTACTCTATTTCTTGTATTTCTATTTTCTATTTATTGAGACAAGGTTTTCTATGTAAATTTTATCTGTCCTGAAATTAATCTGCATACCAGGTTCACTTTGAAATCACAGAGATCCTTTGCTTCTTCTTCCTGAGTTCTGGAATTAAGGCATGTGCCAACACACCCAGCTACTCTCTTTTTAAAATTATTATTATTCTATTTATTTTTCTTATTTTACATATCAATCCCAGGTCCATCTCGCTTCCTCCCTCTATCCCAACCTCCCATGCCCTCTGACCACCCTTTCATCCCACAACCCCCACTACAGAGGGAGGGTGATGCCTTCCAGGAGTGGTCAACAAAATCTGTCAAGTCCTTTAGAGTAGGGACTTGGACCTCCATCCTGCCTCTAGGCTACGGGAGTATCCCTCCAAGGAGAGTGTGCTCCCAATGTCCTTTTGTACACCAGGAATACATCCTGGTTCCACTGTCAGAGGTCCCTTAGACTGCCCAGGAATTCTAACTGAGACCCATGTTCAGGGGGTCTGAGTTCCTCCAATGCTGGATTCCTAGCTATCAGTCTGGGCGTTCATGAGCTCCCCCTTGTTCAAGTCAGCTGTCTCTGTGGTTTTCTGTAGCCTGGTCTTGTCCCACCTCTTTGGATCTGGATTCCATTCAACTCAGTGTTTAGCTGTGGGTATCTGCTTCTCTTTCCATCAGCTAATAGATGAGGGCTGTAAGATGGTAGATAAGTTAGGCATTCATGTCTTTATCAGGGAAGGGCATTTATGGTAGGATTTCCACTGTTGCACAAATTGCAAATTTAGGTCAATCTTGTAGGTTTCTATACATTTCTCTAGAATCAGTTTTCTCTTAAAACCTATAATGGTTCCCTCTTTTATGGTCTTTCCCTCTCTCTCTCTGTCTCTACTCTGCCAGTGACTCAATCTTCCTAGTCCCACATGCTTTCTTAACCTCCACTTCTTGCTTTCTTAGTTCACTCTCCACTCACTACCCCTCCCCATTCCTAATATGCTCAGGAGATCTTGCCCCTTACCCCTTCTGTGAGGGACCTTGTATGAATCTCTTAGATTAATCCTTGTATCCTAGCTTTTATGATGGTTTGACTTATATGATGGTGATCTTTTGCTCTATATCTAAAATCCATATATGAGTGAGTACATACCATGTTCCTCTTTTTGTGATTGGAATACTCATTCAGGATGGCTTCTTCAAGTTCTGTCTATTTGCCTGTGAATTGCAGGAATCCATTGTATTTTTCTGCAGAGTAGTATCCCTTTGTGTAAATGTGCCACATCTTCTTTATCCATTCTTCAGTTGAGGAGCATCTAGATTGCTTCCAGATTCTTGCTGTTACAAATATTGCTGCTATGAACATAGTTGAGCACATGTCTTTGTTGCATGGATGTGGACCATTTGTGTATATGCCTAAGAGGGGATTGCCTGGTCCTGTGGTAGACTGATTGTCATTTTCCTAAGGAACTGCCATACTGATCTCTAAAATGGCTGTACAAGTTTGCACTACCACCAGCAGTGGAGGAGTGATCCCCTTTCTCCACATCCTCTCCAGCATAAGTCGTCATTGGTGTTTGTAATTTTAGCCATTCTGGCAGGAGTAAGATGATATCTCACAGTTGTTTTGATTTGCATTTCCCTCATAGCTAAGGAGGGTGAGCACTTTCTTGAGTGTCTTTCAGTCTTTTTGATTTCCTCTACTGAGAATTCTCTCTTCAAGTCTGTACCCTATTGGTGTTTTGGTGAGTAGTTTCTTGTGTTCTTTTGAACATTAGCCCTCTGTGTGATATAGGATTGGTGAAGATCTTTTCCCAATCTGTGGGCTTTCTTTTGGTCTTGTCAACTGTGTCGTTTGCCTTACAGAAGCTTCACAGTTTGAGGAGGTCCCATTTATTAATTGTCTATCTCAGTGTTTGTGCTCCTGGATTTAGGTTCAGGAAGCAGTCTTGTTCCAATCTGTTCGCTGGTATCTACAATTTTCACTTCTATGAGGTTCAGTGTGGCTGGATTTGTGTTGAGATCTTTGATCCATTTTGACTTGAGTTTTGTGCATGGGGATAGACATGGGTATACCTGGAGTCTTCTACACACCATCATCCACAAATAGCCCAGCCACAACTTTGTGTTTTAATTTCACATTCATTCCATGACCTCTCTTTCCTCTCTAAAATGGCTTCCTCCCTCTGCCTACAATTATCCTATGCTTGTCATGACACTGAAGAACAGGCATTGCCTTGTGCCTTCATATATAAGTATGTGAATTTTAAAAACTAAATTTCATTAACACATTGCAAGGATAGTATGAAAACATGTATTTTAAAGATTGTCATTTAGATAAAAATACTTTGCTTTAAATAAGCC